TAAGTGAAATAAGTCAGACAGAGAACGACAAATACCTTATGATTTAACTTACATGTGGAACCTAAAGGACAAAATAAACAAACAGAAACAGACTCAGATGCAGAGAATAGTCTGATGGTTGCCAGAGGGAAGAGGATTGGGGGGAGGGGAAGGGAGAAGGGACTTGGGCTGGGTGAAAAAGCTGAAGGGATTAAGAAGTACAGATTGGTAGTTACAAAGCAATCATGAGGATATAAAAATAGCCCTAGCAGGTTTGATTCAGTGGATAGAGCATCGGCCTACAGACCTAAGGGTCCAGGGTTCGATTCTGGTCAGGTGCCTCAGTTGTAGCCCCCTCCGTGGCCTGGGCCCTGGTCAGGGCGTGTACAGGAGGTGTTTCTCTCACATCAATATTTTTCTCTGTCTTTCCTTCTCCCTACAAATCAACAGAGAAGTATCATCAGGTGAGGATCAAAAAAATAAAATAAAATATAGCAAAGGGAATATAGTCAATACTATTATTGTAAGCAGCTATAGATGGTGCCAGGTGGGTACTTGAAATATTGGGGGGATCACTCAGTAAGGAACATGATTGTCTAACCATTTTGCTGTACACCTGAAAATAATACTGAATGATACTGAATGCCAACTGTCATTGGAAAATGAAATTAACAAAATAAAGAGAATAATTCCTCCTGGAGAGTTGCTATGCCTGCAGCCAGGCCCCACAAAGAATAATACTGGAGCAGATCAGAGCTCAATCAGCTTGATGCAGGGCCATTCAGCCACCCCTAGCCTGGATTAGTCAACACCCAGGCCTATAAAAAAGGAATGTTTATTGTGACACGAGGCTGACATTTTGAGGTTGTTAGTAAAAGAGCAACAGTAACGGGCTGATCAAGGTTAGGCCTGGGGTTTCCAAAGTGGCAGTGCTGGCTGAGTTACTTAGAGAACTCTAATATGCATAAGGGAGACTTGACTTTCCCCCAGGATGTCTGGAGTGATGTTTAGAAATCTACATTCTTTCAAACACTCTGAGGTGATTTTACATAGCAAGCTCCACACTCTTTGCTCTCTGACATTGTGGTATCACTGATATTAAAGCATGTGGTGGGGGTCGTGTTAGATGACCACTAAGACCCCTTTTCCTCTCCGAGGCCAGAGGTCAGAGAAATCCGGTTTCTGAAGTAGAGTCCTTTCCAATTTGAAAACATTTGAATCCGTGTTGAATTTTTCTTACCTAATTTGTAGAAAGATGCAGGTGTAAATTAACTCTTCATTTATGGAGACAGAATTTTTGCTTTTTATTTAAGAATTATCTCACCCTAGCTGGTTTGGCTCAGTGGATAGAGCGTCGGCCTGCAGACCTAAGGGTCCCGGGTTCAATTCCGGTCAAGGGCACCTACCTAGACTGTAGGCTCTTCCCCAGCCTGGGCCCTGGGCAGGCTCATGTAGGAGGCAACCAATCAATGTGTTTCTCTCACATAGATATTTCTCTCTGTCTTTCCCTCTCTCTTCCACTCTCTGTAAAAATCAATGGAAAAATATCCTTGGATGAGGATTAAAAAAAAAAAATCATCTTTTAATATTTCTGCCTGGGCTACGGTTAGCAGTCAAATGAAAGAGGCAGGATGCTGAGGCTGGGAGAGCCACTAAGTAGAGCAGGAAGGAAGCACAGGGAAGGTCAAGTTTACCAGAGAAGCTGCTGAAGGAGGGGTCTGGGGAGGAGCCCTCAGCTGTAGTTGAGCAGTGAGGAACCTGGATCATACCTGATTCCAAAGCCAGACGTTGAATCTCAGTTGTAACAACTGCCATGCCACTGCTTATAGGAGGTTTGGGGTAAATCTTTTTTTTTTTTTTTTTTTAAATATATTTTTATTGATTTCAGAGAGGAAGGAAGAGGGAGAGAGAGAGATAGAAACATCGATGAGTCATTGATTGGCTGCCTCCTGCATGACCCTACTGGGGATCAAGTCCACATCCCCGACATGTGCCCTTGACTGGAATCAAACCTGGGACCCTTCAGTCTGCAGGCCGATGCTCTATCCACTTAGCCAAATCGGGTAGGGCTGGGGTAAATCTTAATAAAATGTCAAAGATGTGAATTTATGTAAAAAGCTTCATGAAAGTAAATTTTAAAAGGAAAGAGCCTTTTCAAATATAACAATAAAAACTTTAATTGAAAAGAATTCAGACAAAACAGAAGTAATCACTGTTAATATATTACTGTATATTCTTTTTGATATTTTTTTCCTTATGGATGTATGTACACACATGGGTATTTTAGGAAAATAGGATTTTCTTATACCTACTCATTAGTATCCTGCTTTTCTCCATGTTCATAAACACTAACCCCATCATCACTGTATAATACTCCAATATACAAAGAGGCACCATATTTTATTTCTCATGGATGGACCTGTATAATTTATAGGCTGTGATGAACATTCATATATACATTTGTTGTTGTTATTAATCCTCACCCAAAGATACTTTCCCAAATGATTTTTAGAGAGAATGGGAGGGAGCAAAAGGAGAGAAGGAAGCATTGATTGGCTGCCTTGCTCATGAGCCCCCACTGGGGTTGGGAAACCTGCAACTGAGGTACGTGCCCTTGACCAGGAATCAAACCTGCCACCTGCTGCTTTAATCACTGAGCCAAACCAGCAGGGCAAACATTCACATATATATTTTGTGTGCTTATCCAATTATTTCTTTAGAATAAATTCCAATATGTGGAATTGTTAGATTAAAAGGTAAACATAATTTAAAAGTTTTCTTACATGGTTGAATTGCCCTCTCAAAATGTATAAATTAATAATGCTAGGTTTTGTCAGTTCTTTTAACTGTTGTTAATTGTCTATGGAAAAAAAAACGTGGTTTTAATTTGCTTTTTTGTTACTGAATATCTTTTTATATACTTATTGTCTGTATTTTATGTGATAAGGCATAAAATACAAATAGCTTCCCATTTTTCTGTTATGTCAATGTTTTCTTCTTGATTTATATTAGTTCTTTATATTAAGTTATTTACACTGAAAATATTTTCCCTAATGTGGCTTTGCCTATGGTGGCTTTTCACATACTTAAAAAAATGTTATGAGTAAAATTTATCAGTTTTTCAATGAGATTAAAAAAACTCCTTCTGGGGTGAAAGGCAGCATAATAGAATGAAAAAGGCAGAGATCTTTTAAACAATTGAGCTCATAGTCTTCCTGCCTATGGCTGGGTCTTCCTTATCATAATGTGAGAGGAAGAGCACTGGACTGGGACTCGCTTTTTCTCTCTGGGTTCCAACTTCCTCATCTGAAAAATTGGGATGAGCATGAAAACTCCCTTGTAGAGCTATAAAAAAAGAATGGGAGAGAATGCATGTAAAGAGCTTGATCCAGGTTGGGTATATAGCGAATCTCTCTATATTAACTATTATTAGGGAAATATGGAATTTTTTGTTGACAGAGCATAAATGAACTCAGGAGGCTTTGGCTAGAAATAAATGATAATGATTTATTCAGGGGTCTTAGGTAATTCCACAATGCTAACTAGGTAATACCAGAGTGTTGCAAAGAAGAAAGAAAAGCTGAGGGTTCTTATAGTAAAAAGTACATTTTTGAGAAGAATCAGTCCTGGGTTGGTTTTTGATAATAATCCTTGATGACTAGTGGTCTGGATAGTGGATGTCAGGTTAAGTGACATTCTGGGTATATGAACATTCTTTTCTTAGTCCCTCAGGTGGTTATCAGAGAGTTTTCTGGTGGCTTCCAGTCCCTATGCAGTACTAGAAAGTTCAAAGGTGAAGGGATTAAGCAATCCTTCCTCCTATATAATAAAAGGGTAATATGCAAATTTACAGAAAGGCAGAATAATCTAGTCCTATATGTATAATAAAAGCCTAATATGCTAAGTGTCTAGTCATCCAGTCATCTGTTCAACCAATCCAAGTGTAATATGCTAATGGTATGATAAGGTCACTCAACCGCTTGCTGTGACATGCACTGACCTCCAGGGGGCAGACACTCAATGCAGGAGCTGCCTCCTGGTGGTCAGTGCATTCCCACAGGGGGAATGCCACTCAGCCAGAAACCAGGCTCAGGGCTGGCAGCTGTAGTGGCAGAAGCCTCACCCACAGCGGCAGCGACGCTAAGGATGTCCAACTGCCGGCTTAGGCCCGCTCCCTGCCCCAGTGACCCCAGCCATCACTTGGACATCCCCCAAGGGTACCTGGTCTGAGAGAGGGTGCAGGCTGGGCTGAGGGATCCCCCCACTTCCCCGCACAAATTTCATGCACTCAGCCTCTAGTAAATAAATACACCAATAAATAAATGATAGTTCTTTAAAAAAAAAAAATTAAAATTGACAAAGTTTAAGTTCCCAGGCTAGTTAATACAAGTTTAGCACCATTTCCTCATACCCCGATCTACTTCATTTCAGTCATTTGGCAGCTTGACTATGGCGACTCTCTTATTTCTTCACTCTATTCCTTACTTTAAAAACAGTATTTTAAATTCAGTTGGTGTCAGTGGAAATGGGGTAGCAGTGAGGACCCCAGACATGTAGCCATTCACCCGCATCTCTACGAACTAACTACATCGCTGGGCGTCACAACTTGGGTTCTAATCCCGGTCCTGCCCATTCCTTGGTCGTGACCTTGGACTAGTCTCCTTCCCCTCTCCGGGGTTCAGTTTGTTCCCTGAGGAAATAGACATGGAATAGACACGTCTTGTTTCCCACCCAGGGGCTGGGCGAGGCAAAGACTTCACACAGGCTTGCAGAGAAGACAGAAACGCCAGCCAGGGCTGTGCCTTGCGGAGCATCCCAGGCTGGGGCCGGGCTCCCCCCGCTCCCCCCGCCCCACCACCCATCCCGGCCCGGACGCCCGCGCCCCCCGCCCCGCGCGCCCCGCCGCCTCGGGAACAATAGCTTCGGTGGAGGGAACCGGGGGTGCGCGGGGCGGGGTCGCCGCTGCCCCTCCCGCCGCCCCATTTGTCACGCGCCCCTCGCCGGGCGGGCGGGCGGGCCGGGGTCTTTGTGACGCTGCGGTGGCGGCGGCCGCGGACACAAAGGGAAGGCGAGGAGGCGAGCGCGGGGCTGGGCCCGCCCCCGGCCCCGCCCCCGCGACCCCCGCCGGCCGCACGCGCGCGCCCGCTCCCCCGGCCTCGGTCTCCCCCTCCGCGGGCTCGCACCCCCGATCGCGCACCCCCGATCCTCGCGTGCGCCCCGGCCTCCGGCTGTCCAGGTGGCTGCGGCGGGACCGGGATGCCGAGGGGCCGCCCGCGGGCTCCCGGGCGCGGCTGCTAGGAGGCGCCGAGGCGGCGGCGGCGGCGGCGGCGGCGGGGCTCCCGGCGGCGGCTGGATGCCCCGGGCCTGCGGCTCCCTGCGCTTCCCTTCCGCCGTCCAGGGGCGCCAGCCATGGGCGCCGCGGCCGCCGAGGCGCCGCTCCGGCTGCCCGCCGCGCCCCCGCTCGCCTTCTGCTGCTGCTACACGTCGGTGCTGCTGCTCTTCGCCTTCTCGCTGCCCGGCAGCCGCGCGTCCAACCAGCCCGCCGGGGGCGGCGGCAGCGGCGGCGGGGAGTGTCCCGGCGGCAAAGGCAAGAGCATCAACTGCTCAGGTAGGACCGGCCGAGCCTGAGCCTGCCCGGGGCTGCCCTGCGGCCCCCTGTCCTCCGCCGGCGCCCCGCCGCGCCCCGGGCCCGCGGCCGGTCTGGGGAGGCCCCCGCGCGGGGACCCCGGGAGCGGGCCGAGGGCGATCGGGGGCGGAGGGCGTGGAGCCCGGGAGCCGTGCGGCGCGGGGACCGGCTCCGGGGACGGGAGTGGCCGTGCGTGCGCCCAAGGGTGGCTGTCGGGGCGAGGGTGGCCCCCCGGCTCGCAGGGAGGGAGCAGGCCGGGACCCCGCGAGGCGGGGGCAGCCTGCCGGGGCTCCCCGTGTGATCGCGGGTGTGCGGGCGGGAGCGCGTGTTTATGTTGTGAAGGCTCCGGGGAGAGACTGTGTGTAAGCGTGAGTGTGTGAGTGTGTGTGTGTGTCTGCGTGTGTGTGTGTGTTCAGTGTGTGTGTTCGTGTGTGTCTCTGTGTGTGTGTGTGTGAGTGTGTGAGTCTCTGTGTGTGAGTGTGTGTGTGTCTCTGTGTATGTGTGTGTGTGTGAGTGTGTGAGTCTGTGTGTGTGTGTGTCTCTGTGTATGTGTGTGAGTGTGTGTGTGAGTGTGTGTGTATCTGTGTGTGTGTGTATCTGTGTGTGTGTTAGTGTGTGTGTGAGTGTGTGTGTCTCTGTGTGTATGTGAGTGTGTGAGTGTGTGTGTGAGTGTGTGTGTGTGTTTGTGTATGGCGGTGCAGAGGGGCCAGGGGACCCAGGCTGATGGCCAGGGGAGTGACCATGTGCTGGGGAGGTTCTTAGGGCGCTGGTGTGAGTGAAGGGAACGGAGCCCAGAGGACGAAGGTGGGCGATGTGGAGTCACTGTGAGTGAGTGTGTGTGTGTGTGTGTGTGTGTTCCTGTGTGTGTGTGAGTGTGAGAGTGTGTGTGTGTGTGTGTGTCTCTCCTCTGGGTGCAGAGGGGAGCGCGCTGGGGGTTGGGGTGACGCCGGCTCTGTGGATCTGAGCCGGGAACAGTTCTGGGGCCCAGGAAATGACCCTGTGTCTTTATGGGTGGCGGGTGCATGGGCGAAGTTTGGGGCGCAGGGATATGCCCAGGGGCATGCATCGGGAGAAAAGGTGGGGTCCTGGAGTGAACCCCCGTCGTGCCGGTTCCGAAGGAAGGAGCTAGGGTCCTGGGTAGCGTTTCGGTAACAGAAGGAGGTAATCAGGTTTCAGAGAGTGCCTCGTGCAGCAAGGTGTGAGTGACCCTGGGTTATGGAGGGGGCCTGGAACCAGGGGAGATCGTGTGTGTGTGTGTGTGTGTGTGTGTGTGTGTGTGTGTGTGGTTTTGCGGGAGAGCCTGGATGTGGGCAACAACCGGAGGTAGGGAGTGAGTGACCTCTCCCCTCACTCTGCGGCCGCCGTCCCCCCCCCCCCCCCCCCACACACACACACAGCTGTTGGAAACAAAGAGCTTGCTGGGACTCTAATGGGTGAGCCTGGGGAGGAGGGTGTTTGGGCTGTAAAGTTCCCTCTTCCTTTCTGAAGGGGTCCCAGAGAAGCCCCGAGGCTGGGAGAGGCACGCAGGTCTCATTTGGGGGTGGATGGGTCCCCCTGGAGCTGGCCTGGCAGATGCTAGAGATGGTAGCCACAGCCTTGCCAACTCCCCCTTGTATCCATTCTCCAGTCTCCATTTGTCTTCTTTAAACTGAGGGGGTGGGACCAGAGGCTTGGGGTGGGGAGGGGGTGGGAGAGAAGGGGAGGGGAAGGAGGAGGATGGACATTAGGCCCCTGGGGACCCACTGGCTTTCCTGACAGACAACCTTTGTACCTTTGAGCTATGGAAGGGGCTTTGTTTGTGGGAGGAGGAAGCCAGAGGGCCTTAGCCCAGACTCCTGTGCTACCCCTAAACGGAGAAAAGCCTTTGGCCTGCTGTTTAGGCTGGGAGGTCCAAAACCTTTTAGTAATTTTCATAATGGTATGTTTTTATGACAGGGCCAGGATTCTGAGCACAGTAAACAATGGCATGTCAATAAAAGCATTCCCATCCATGGAATAACTTTTACTTTATTTTCCTCATGTTAAGTGGGGTATGGGATGGCGCTTTAATAAATAATCACACACTAATGGTGGAGAATAAAAACCATTTGTATTTTAGAGTGCCTTTTGGTAACGCTGGTTATCAATCTTGTAAGTGATCACACCATGTCAAAATATTTTTATGGGCTAATGTGCTGTGGTTGTGTGATCTTGCTAAGCTAATTTTTCCTTAGCATAGTATAGCGTGGATGGATGTTTTGTGTGTGTTTTCTAACCCTAGTGCATAGTACAGATTTTAAGGAAGGACACAGAGGGCTGGGAAACCACGTGGTGTGGGAAAAGGGGACTGATTTAAGGATCATGGTTCTTGCTAAGCAGCTGCATTATTTGGAGCAAATTAATTTTTCTTAATTTCTCTTCTACTCAAAGAAGGACTTGGATTTCATAATATCTGAATCTTTTAAAAATATATATTTTATTGATTTTTTTACAGAGAGGGGGAGAGAGGGATAGCAAGCTAGAAACATCGATGAGAGAGAAACATTGAGCAGCTGCCTCTTGCACACCCCCTACCGGGATGTGCCTGCAACCAATGTACATGCCCTTGACGGGAATCAAACCTGGGACCTTTCAGTCCGCAGACCGACGCTCTACCACTGAGCCAAACCGGTTTTGGCTATATCTGAATCTTATTTAAGGATATATTTATATAAATGTCAATAAATTAGACTGATCAAATAAAATGTTTTCGAATGCTAAGATACACTTGCATAATTCTAGTCTAAAACTAGTTTTCTTCTTTTTTTTTTTTTTTTTTTTTTTAATTGATTTCAGAGAGGAAGGGAAGGGAGAGAGAGATAGAAACACCAATAGTGAGAGAGAATAATTGATTGGCTGCCTCCTGCATTAGGGATCAGTCCACAACCTGGTGTGCCCCAATTGGGAATCTGAACCATGACCTCCGGGATCATAGGTTGACCCTCAACCACTGAGCCACACCAGCCAGGCAAGTGAGTGTTTTAACTAAATGCATTTGTAAATTCTTCTTAGGATGAAGACCTGGGAATGATTCATATAAGAACAACATTTTTTTAACTTGATTAATTAGAGAATTAGAGTAATTGAGTTTGGACATATGCATCTATTAGCATCTTGAGATTATGTAGATTTTGTTGTTGTTTTTATTACCTAGATATTTCTCACATTTTCTCCTTTTTATACTTGAGTTGTAGACTCTTAAATGCTGGCCTTGACTCCCTGTTGATCTTTGGTTTTGGACCCTCAGTTCAGCCCACTCTGACCTCTTGGCATCCTGATTCATGGAAAAGGCTGAGAGGCTGTGGTATTTTCCCGGAGACTTCCTTGCAAATTGGTTGATGTGGATACATTAATCAACCAGATGTTCCACTGGCTAGCTATGCATCTTCCTAGTAAAGTTTAACAGATTTATGACCTTCTGCTGTTCAACATTTTCCCATTTTGTCCCCACTAGCCTATCATTGAAAGATTCTGTTAGAATCTTTTATGCATTTGTATGCATCATCCTCCCTTTTTTCATTTTAGTAATCCAATCAAAAAGCAAATGTTGTGTAGCCTACCTTAATAAAGACCCCACGCTGGCGTTTTCTTTTTATGGTGCTCATAAACTTATTTAGCCATTCTAAATTTTTTCCAGGGATACATAACAAATTTACCCTAGATATTTTTCTGGATTCACGTTTCTCCCTTTTTGAAAACTGAGAATACATTCTTTCATCCCTGGTCTTTTTGGCTGCTTGTCAAGATAGGTTAGGTAATCAGCAATCAGATCTAAAAGTTTTGTCAGTATCACGGAGTGTGATTTGTTTGGGTCAGAAAGCAAATTCTTTTGAGCTAGCTCTCTATTCCATTACCGTCCACTCTCCATGCCACTAGCCTTACATGTTAGCTCCCTTTTTTCAGAGTTCTACCCTTCCCAGTTTAAAGAGCATATTCCCTGATGAAGATAACCAAAGCAAACAAGAAGCTAAATGGGTCTGCATTTGTCCCTGTCATCTCTTAATATTACATCATCTTCCCTAAGCAGTGAGTTCTTTGTTTAGCTCTTTTAAGTCTAAACAAGCTTTTGTTTTGTTTTTAAATTATTGTCCTTTTGCCTCAGCTTTCCAGCATAAAGTCATTCTTGACTTTATACTTATGGTTTTACTTGTACCTATTCTTTTAAAAGCTAACTTATTAGAATGCTCCCTATTTGTCTAAAGAGAAAAGGGTTTGGAAATGCATGATTCACATGAAGAAAGATGAACTTTGAAGAAAAGTGGCCTCAGACATTGATTTTTTTTTTTTTATTTGTAACATGAAGATATTGATAATGGCCCTTTTTGGCTGTAGAATGAGAAGGAGGAGGAGGCCAAATATGTGAAATATTTCTATCTTAGGGAATGTGGTTAAAGAGGTAGAGAAATATGGTTGGAGCATCATCTTGTGCACCAGAAGGTTTCGGGTTCGATTCACAGTCAGGGCACACACCTAGGTTGTGGGTTCCAACCCCCATTGGAGGATGTAGAGGAGGCGACGAATCGACGTATCTCTCCCACATCAATGTTTCTCTCTCTCTCTCCCTCTCTAAAATCAATTTAAAATTGCTAAAAAAAAAAAAAAAAAAAAAAAAAAGACATGGAAGTTAGAAGTTGCCCTTGATTGTGATATGGTGGTAAGGCTGTTTTAAATGGAAGGCATATATTTTAGATTAAGAGAAATGCCTTGTTAGTGGTAGTGCAGGATTCTGGGGAATGAAAAGTGAGTTTTCCCTAATTAGCATGGAATCGTGGTCAGGGCACTTCTAGATACCTGGTTTGTAACATGTGGGTATTTATTAATTTATTTGGTGAACTTGGATTGACTGCCCATTTAGTGTAACCTAATATACTAGACTAGAGGCCCGATGCACGAAATTTGTGCACGGTGTGTGTGTGTGTGTGTGTGTGTGTGTGTGTGTCCCTCAGCCCAGCCTGCATCCTCTC